TCACCGTAGATGCTGTTTTGAGTCTAAAAATCCTGGTATGTGTGTTTGTAAATAAATGTGACTATTTAGCTTTGTCTTCTCATTAATGGGAATTTCAGTGCGCTTATGCCACTAGGGGTGACAATCTAAAAATTGTAACTACTATTCATCTTTTTGAGGCTTATGGAATGAAAATAAATAAATATATATTTATATTTAAACATGGGAAGGATTTTTTTATTTTTAAGGATTAAATACATGGGAAGAATTGCCAGAAGTGATATTTCCATAGCCCAATTGTTTAAAAAAACTAAAAATTTCTCTATTGGAAGAGTTGCTGGTCTATAGGGTCCAATAAATCGACGGGCTAAAAATCCTACAGAAGAATCTTTCAGGCTGCCATATAGCAAAGCTAGGAAACTGATTAAAGGACCACTATAGTGCCAGAAAAAAACTTGTTTTCCTGGCTTTATAGGGTCCTTGGGCCCCCCTCCCTAGGGTGAGAAAGAGGTTAATCGCTTACCTTTTTCCAGTGCCGGGGAATCTCCTGCCGTTATCGGCTGAATGCGTGGCAAGAGCCGCACGCGCATTCTCAATGCTTTCCTATGGATGCTGGCGTCTTCTCACTGTGAAAATCAGTGGGAAGCGCGTCTAGCGGCTGTCAGTAAGAGAGCCACTAGAGGCTGGATTAACCCTAAAGTAAACATAGCAGTTTCTCTGAAACTGCTATGTTTACAGCAGGTAGGGTTAATCCTAGATGGACCTGGCACCCAGACCACTTCATTAAGCTGAAGTGGTCTGAGTGCCTATAGTGGTCCTTTAAGGAAAGCCATAACTCACCTGGGATATGCGAGCAGAGCAAAAGAAATGTATTTTTGACTCTCCACAATTTTAAAGGGATAATCCAGACGTGGACCCCTTGCTCACGGTGCCTAGGGAGATATCAGCTATGCCTCACTGATGATGCCTAACAAGGCTGAAACGATCGTCTGGGGTTGCTGTATCTCTCGTGCAGAAAGAACTTGCTGGCATTTCGGATCTGGACTGCCCGTATGGGTGGGACCAGTCTGATATGCTTCAGATATGTTCTCTCTGTAATGGCACAAGATGAGCAAAAAATCAGCTTGAGAACTGAGCGGGGACCGACCGAAGGGCAGGCTATTTCAGCTGCTGCCCGTTCTCAGTATTCTCTTGCGACCCATTTTTGACTCTCCACAATTTTAAAGGGATAATCCAGACGTGGACCCCTTGCTCACGGTGCCTAGGGAGATATCAGCTATGCCTCACTGATGATGCCTAACAAGGCTGAAGCGATCGTCTGGGGTTGCTGTATCTCTCGTGCAGAGAGAACTTGCTGGTATTTCGGATCTGGACTGCCCATATGGGTGGGACCAATCTGATATGCTTCAGATATGTTCTCTCTGTAATGGCACAAGATGAGCAAAAATCAGCTTGAGAACTGAGCGGGGACCGACCGAAGGGCAGGCTATTTCAGCTGCTGCCCGTTCTCAGTATTCTCTTGCGACCCATTTTTGACTCTCCACAATTTTAAAGGTATAATCCAGACGTGGACCCCTTGCTCACGGTGCCTAGGGAGATATCAGCTATGCCTCACTGATGATGCCTAACAAGGCTGAAACGATCGTCTGGGGTTGCTGTATCTCTCGTGCAGAGAGAACTTGCTGGCATTTCGGATCTGGACTGCCCGTATGGGTGGCACCAGTCTGATATGCTTCAGATATGTTCTCTCTGTAATGGCACAAGATGAGCAAAAATCAGCTTGAGAACTGAGCGGGGACCGACCGAAGGGCAGGCTATTTCAGCTGCTGCCCGTTCTCAGTATTCTCTTGCGACCCATTTTTGACTCTCCACAAATGTATTTACTAGTTTATCAAAAAAGTGAAATTATCAAAGGAATATGGGAATCAATTAGAGTCATTCTGTCTCTGTATGTGTAAAGTGTGAGACATACTTGCCAAATGAAGAATAATCATGGCAACTACAGCAAATACTTTTTGTCAACGTAAACAGACCACTTGCTGGTGGGTTCCCCTGCTATTCTCCAATCTGTTATTCATACATTACATGCTATGCCACAGGAACAGTACTACATGCCAGGGTCTTTATTATGAATATTCCAACATTTGCATATATTTAAGAATTTAAAATAAGTTTTTAGCATTTCATTATCCAGAGAAAAAAAAAAACCTCTACCAAAACAACAAAAGTGTTAAGAATTTCACAGTGCTGATGAAATATATATTTTATTTGGTACAATTCACAAATAACACACTTTGACCTAAATCTGAGTAACTTATCCTCTTCACACTAGCAGCTGAACAAAATTTAAATCCTTTAACTCCTAAAATATTTCAATTAAAAAAGGCAATTGATTTAAAACACTAGCAAATATTTTCAACATGACATTGCAAACCCGAAGAATGTTCACTAAAAATATTTAATCTCGTCCAGTGCCTCTGTCCTTTTTTTATTTTAGTGGTGCCTCTGTATTTAATAGAAAAGACACTCCTAGACTATAAAAGATAGGATGTACTGAAGTATAGCAAATTGAAATCCACAATGCTATATTTAGGACAACAAATCTACGAGTTTCTATATATTTTGTTTTTTTTGCCTTGGATACATTGTAGTCTAGTTTTCAATACACAATTTGTTGTTCAGTGAATAACTTTCAGAATTCTTGAATGAAGACGAACAGGTGGAAGGCTAAGTTACCAACACATTCAAATTATCCATCGAACAAGTTATTAAATAGGATGTAATTTTTAGCACACTTAAGCAATTATGCTTCCAGAGAGGGTATAAAAACATTGTTTGTATAGCGATTTCAGGAGTGCATGGTTTACGTAGGTGACAACCTGCTAATGAATGCACCCTCATGGCCTCATAGCAAGGGCCTTACAGTTTTAGTAATAAAAAGGTATTTTTTGTTTTGTTTGCAATAATGTTAAAAACTATTAGAATTAATCAATGTGACAGAAAATATAAATTTTGGGAGTGTTATGCCTTTAGTTTTCTTAATATTGAATATATTGTACTTTAATCTATTTAAAGTACATTTTTCCTGCCGCCCTAGTCACATCTTATTGCTTAAAGTCAAACATGGACTGCATCAGAACATGTCTTCAGTCATTTCCCAGTTGGGTGAACTGTGAAAGGTGCTTGATAACCCATATACTGTGAAAGGAGATCTGTTGATTTTGAAATTGACTGTTTCCTGCATTTTAGAATTGATGACGGGTGCCAACTACATTTGTTGTGTACCTTCACATGGGACAAATTGTCATGTATCTACAAACATACATGGTATGTGTCACCATTTGTGGTGCTCTGTTAAAATAATTCATCTCTATAAAATGTATTTCTGAAGTGGTGATATGTCACCAATAAAAGGTCATGCTATAAGAGAAGATCTGTACTCCCGTTCAAAACAAAAACACAAGTACATACGTTTTATACACAGTATCCTACTGGCAGAATGAACAAAAAAAAAAAAATCCCTAGAAACAAGTTTATCTGACCCTCATTTTCAGTATTTATGTTTCAACGTTTGTATCAGGGTATGTAATCTTTATGGCATAACACTGGGTGAAAGAGAGACATGTAAGCCACTACATGCCATTAACCAATAGTGTTGTTTAGACATCTATAGCAGTCAGTTTGTCACAATTCAGTGCTTTAATTTCAAGATCTTCTTATACTGCAGAATGGACAGCTTGGTGTAAACAAGGAAGCAATAGTTTAACAGTGTTGCCGATGGAGCTTACATGTGTACAGCACATGCATGACAGATTACGGACACAAGACCTCTAGTCACAGGGTTAGTCTGCCACTGCAGGCCTCCCATTGTACAGCAGTACACTCTTAAGAGCAGCGAAATGTTCTCCTATGATAAGTGATTTGATAACTGGGCACGCCTTTGCTGGTTGTAGAACTTGCCATTCACACAATTTTTTAATGGAGCATACATTTTCCAAACTAGCCTGATCTAGTGCAGTCATGTCAACAATGGGGTGGAGTTGCATGTCCCACTCTACACACACCAGCATGGTACCCATTACCCACAACACTAAAACAACAAGTTCAAAGCAGGAGAAAAGTAGTTGTTTGGAAGGAACATCCTGGTGTAAGGTAAATGGCAGCAGAGACACGGGGGGATCTGTTTACGTTTTTATAAAACATGCACATTATTCCTAGGATGGGGCTTCAAATTTATAATTGTCCTGTTTGATCAGCCTCTCATCCAAGTTCATTGTATTATAGTTGTCTTTGTTTTTAATTTAATAACACAAAGTGTGGCCAATTAAAGAATACCTTATTCTCCTGATTTAAAGATGACGTAAGCGTGCCACTCATGTGTATTAATATGCCCTTTGCAGGTGTCATGTATTGGATGTGTATGATATGGAATCATGTGATTTCAGTGTTTGCTGTTCCTGATGGCTGATAAGAGGAAGGAGAATCAGAAGATGAAGGGACATTCTCTGAGACAATGTCTGGATTGAAACTAGCCTTGTCACTAGGTGTAATAGATGGAGCAGCTGAATCTGTCCTGCTGTTGTGGGAGTATGACACATATACATAGCCATCAACCTGAATTGGTTACACAAACATGTACCACTATTAGTCCACTGTATGCGTAAAGCTCTAGAATAAAGAAAGAATAAAATGTAACTAAAATAATTCTCTTTGGGGATCATACAATGCATATATTATTTTTCTTTTAGGGAACCCTGTTGTCGATGTATGACCGACCCACTATAAAAAAACATTCAGTTATTTTTATTAGAGACAGAGCACTATAACAGCATGTTTTCCATTTTTTGTCTTGGTGAAAACCTTTTATGTCATCAGGTATTGGGAGTCCATGAGTAATTTCCCATTGGAGTAAAGTGCAATTCATTCTCCCTTGCGAGAGGAATGTCAGTGTTTATTTCCTCCATCCTTATGCTCTCCCATTGTGAAGTCATTAACCATTAAAACATGTAGAAATGTTCTGTTCAATGAGGTTTAGGCACATGCCCATCCACATAAAAGTTTCTAGTTACTTTGGGGAGCGTAAACACGGCTCCATTGAGTTCTGGCGTGAGAATGATCTGACATCCGAGTCTGGAGTTTTCCTGCAGCAAGGGGGCCATGTCCAGCATGTCATCTTCCCTGTAAGAAAGACATTAGATCAATGCTGCAATCATGAGACATATCTGTCTTCATAGAGATACATGAACATTTCTATTCCATACTGCCAAATCTCACGGGAACATAGAACATCTGCCAAACACTACTTCGTGTAGCCAGAATGCCAGGCAGACACCATGAGGTGATAAAACACTAGCTCAGCAGTGTAAAGATCTTGAACATTTTCCTAACACAAGGGGAACCTTTAAAAACTAGAATGCCACGTCAGCACCAGCCATAAACCACAAACAGCTAGGGCACCAGTCAAGGGGCACACGGTCCAAGACTGCAATGAATGTAGGCCAAACATTTTCACTTATGTTTTTTTACTCAAAAGGTCCAATTTTAAAGGAATACTCCAAGCAATGCTTAGCCTGTATACATTTCTTCAAAGCCCCTGATATTTTTGAGATTCTGTGTTTCTTTTTCTGTGACCAGTCTCCAACCCCCTACATTGACATCCTACGTAGGAGTTTACCTTCCACTTTGAGTAGTGCAAGTATTTGTGAGCATAGCTCATAATGTTCAAACCAGTCTCCTTCCATTGTAGTAGCTGTGTTGTGAGAATGCATGCACACAGTACGGTTCCCTGCCCAGATCTGTGCACTGAGCCATGCTGACCTATGGCACTCTTAGAAGCAAAGGAAATGACCTGAATAGAATACCAGGTGATTAATTAATACTAGAGCTCTAGAATACATTTCATGGGGGTGGAGGTTTCCAGGGAAGAAGCTCAAAATCTAAAAAACGGCAAGGATTTAAATGGTAAGTATTCAACGACAGGATCCTAACAACATTAACTTTTATAATAAATTTTAATATTTATGGTGCATATGGTTATGGTGGTAATATAAAAGTGCATAATTTACCAGAATTGCAGAATTGTATTTGGCTTCTACTGCTGAATTAATAGTAGCATCCTTAGGTGAGCCACCACACAAATTGCAGCTGGTGAGTAAAAGGAGAAGGGTTTAAAAAACTTATTCCAGACACCATAACAACTACAGCATATGGTAGCTATTACGGTGCATTTACGTGGTCAGTGGAATACAATCATTCCTATTTTTAGAAGAACACACCAAGCACCTTAACCACTATAACATGATGTGGCCATTATAAGATGCCGCCTTCCATTGCAAGTAGTCAAACCGTTTTGAACAGTCATCCTTCTTACCCGAGTTCTGTTGTGCGCCACTCCCTGCTTCCACTACTAGAGCCAAATAGCTGGAAGCACCTAAGCAGGAGCTTAGCTCAGTCTGACTATTCACAGTGGGGGCCACCAGGACACTCTTGGCACCATAACCATGGTTATGCTTGGAGTGTTCCTTCAAGTATATCCTGAGCAACCCCTCCCCCTCATCATCGTATGTATTTTGGGGGAAGAGTACTTTTCCCATCCAGATGTTTAAGTATTTATCCTGAGTGAGTGTTCCCGCAGTGCATGGGACTCCCAAACCTGCAGGGGCTCTGCAGTAAACATGCACATTTTCAAACACCGTACTGTTCACTATCTGACTCAGAGACCTACATTCACTCTGAGCAACAAGTAGAGCACCACAAAGCTAGCTGCGCTCTAGCTCACTCTGTACAAGAAGAAAGCAGGCAGCATGATCAAGCTATAAACAAAATGACAAAGAATTAAACAATGGCACATTGATTTTAATATACCTTTAAAAGGGACACTATAGTCACCAGAACAACTACAGCCTAATGTAGTTGTTCTGGTGAGTATAATCATTACCTTCAGGCATTTTCATGCAAACACTGTCTTTTCAGAGAAAAGGAATTGTTTACATTGTCCTCTAGGGACTCCTGGCCACTGGAGGTGCTCCCTGGGGCAGTGCTGCACAGTGTGCAGCACTGGTGTTCAGCATCTCCACGCTCTGCATGGAAACGCAGATTTTTCCTCAGAGATGCATTGATTTAATGCATCTCTATGAGGAGGTGCTGATTAGCCAAGCCAGCATTTGGCCCGCCCCCGTCCCATCTCCTTACCGATTTCAGACAATCAAATGCTTTCCCAAAAGGAAAAATCGTAAATCATGATAATGTCAGCAAGGAGGCGGATCAGGGGCAGGGCCAGCTCTGGTAATGAGGTAGGTTTTCTTACCTTTTAAGGAGGTAAAGGGGGCAAGCCACCTAAATAGTGGTTTTAACACTACAGGGTCAGAAATACAGGTTTGTGTTCCTGACCTTATAGTGCTCCTTAAAACATTCCAAACTACTCTGTATTTTAGCTTGGCTTTACAAAAAAAGGGCTGCATGATAGAATAGTTCCTACAGCTACACAACAATAACACAAGACACATTAAATCATTGTATAATGATAATAATTGTATAATTGTATAAGAAAAAACAAGAAAACAAACTATAAGCAATTAAGGTTCTTATCAAAACAATCTATTAGTATCTCTTTAAGTGTTATTACAAAATGTATGTCCCAAGTTAATATGGTGATGCAATTCTCTGCTTATACATAAGGTCCAAGACCATATAACCAGCAATAGTCCTCCGCACTTTTCCTTACTTCCAGAAACCCAGAGATCCTTGGATGCTGCATTATGATAGCTGGCAGATAAAGTTACCATAATAAATTTGAGAGATGTTTAACCTTCTTTTTTTGTCTCCTTTCTCCCCCTTCCCCTCTTTATTCTTCCTTTGACAATTGTCTAGAATCTTCCATTAAAAAAACAGAACATGGAAATTTTGCTTTGATGAATGTTGACATGGAGTAGATATGCAACATGATGATGCTGAATGAAGGTCAAGTGTATAATACATTTTTAATTCTGCTATTTCCTTGTAATATTGCATGAAGAAATAACTTCTATAAAAAAACAAAAAATCCCCTACTCTATATTAGTCAAAGTTTTGCTATTTTAGCCTTCAGATTTAAATTTTGATATTAGTAATTAACCTTTAGAGGTTTATGTATGCTATGTATTAATAAAACTAATAGTATTTGATTAAAAAATAAAAATCTGATGTATAACGTTTCTTAACGCACTTTTTATTTACTAATTCTCTATGTTAAAAGGCTCAGTTATGTTTCTAAGACCTCCAATGCTTACCTTTCATCTGGATCAGGAAGTTTATCAAGAAACTCGGTACTGACATACACATGACACGTAGAACATGCTAAGGAGGATTCGCAGGCCCCTAAAAAACAAACACCAAAACCACAAATGTGTTAGATCAACGATAAAGATCCTCTGCCTTTGCTGAAGATGTAGACCAGTGTTTCCCAACCCAGTCCTCAAGGCACACCTACCAGTCCATGATTTAGGGATTACCCAGTTGTGTCTAAGGTGTTTTTTTTCTTCTTTGTAAAAACACCTTAGACACAACTGGGTAATCCCTAAATCCTGGACTGGTAGGTGTGCCTTGAGGACTGGGTTGGGAAACACTGATGTAGACCACATGCTAGCCTTGTGGATGCTGCTTATGCCTGCATATTATTTGATATGCTATGAAAAATTGCTCTATGCGTGGACTGCCAATAATCCCCAAAACAGTTTTGCAATTCATTCAGTAGATTCCATTGAAGGTCTACCTGTACGTCATACCTGTTAAGAACAACTATGTGTTAAAAAGAATGTGAATACTCAGTGGATGGTGGAAATACAAACTCCAATGATTCACAGAAAGAAATAGAATGAGGTGCATGCAAACTGCAGGAATTTGCAAGTTGGAACAAGATGTAAACCATGGATAAGGTTCTAGAAAATGATATCACATTTTGACCTAGTGATGGACATGGTAAGAGGTATATATGGTAACCAGTCTTTTCTATGGCCATTTCTGCTGGGAGGGAAGTGGCTAACCTGTTCATTAGCCAATGCTGCCATGGGGATTTATTAGGAAACCTGTATTACTCCAACTCTTTTTTATTTTTATTTTTTAAACTGCAAATCTCAAAATGCTGAGGCTAATTGGAACTCTATGTCAAAAACATATCAAGACAGACATTTTATTACCACATACCTTCTAAATCAATGTCACATCGATGTGCTAGGTATAGAACACTTTCTCCTACTTTCCCTTTCACTGGTATATGGCGGCCTGATCTGTCCACAAACACCACGTCCACGCTGAGGAAGAACATACAAGAGTATAAACGCAAACAAACACATTCTCTAAATACAACAAATACTCTAAGAGTAACAAGGAATCCTAATGCACAACTCTCAGTCGGCAAAGGTGATACTGCAAGTGTAACGAGAGATCAAATGCATTAAACTCCGCTTTTAATATTGACATTATAGAAATATCAAGATACAGAATACACAAAGCTCAGCTGGCACAGATTACATTGTAAGAGTACTTAAACAAAATGCTGAATTGATTCTTCCACTAGTGTAGCTTTGGGTCTCTTGCAGAAACTGCAAAGATTACATTGCCGGGTCAAACGCACCTCTAGTGGCTGTCTTCCTGATAGACACTAGAGGCACTTCGTCTACAATGACTTAGTTCAGGGATAGCTAACCTTCGGCAACCCAGATGTTGTGGACTATATCTCCCTTGATACTTTGCCAGCATTGTGGTTGTGAGAGCATTATGGGAGATGTAGTCCAAAACATCTGTAGTGCCGAAGGTTGCCTATCCCTGACCCAGTTAGACTCTGTCATGTGGCCAAAGGCAGCTCATAGAAAATCACTGCATTAAATGCTTTCCTATAAGAAAGAATGCGCATCAGCCCTCAATATTCCTCTACGAGAGTGGAATTTTTTTACATAGAAAACGGCACCTACCGTGATGTAATCTCTTTAAAAAGGGAACAATAATTGCGATGTGTGGGTTTCCAGAGAATAAATATGCCCCCCAAAAATAAAACTAAATACTTGTAGTTGGATAGTAGTTGTAGTTGATAGTATCCTTTGCTTTGTAACATTGACTGGACACCTTAGTGTGTTGTTGCATCTGTAAGCTCACTGCTTTTTCTTTGTAAAGTTATTTCAAAATATTTTACGGAAAAAAACATTGCAAAATAAATAAAAATAATGACAATATTTAAAAAATCCAAACAAACAAACAAAAAAAAAAAAACAGATCAGAACTTACGTTTCTTCTGAGAGATCTGTTACTTCAGAGCTGCCTTGAGACTGGAATGTAGCTAAAGACAAAGAGCTTAGTCATTTCATTAGCATTGTTTAAAGCACACACATCATTTAACATGAAGAATGACATGAATGGAAATCTGCTCAGTTTCACCTGCAGTCTCCATCTTCGGCAAGCCTCAGCTTGAAGCTCTGTTTCTTAACTTTATAGAGTGAATAGAGTAAGGAGCACAACCATAAATCTTTATATATATGAAAAAATCTTTATTAAATGGGTATATACTATAGGACTGTCTCTTTAAATATTATCCACAGAGGTACAAAGTAATGCTATTCAAAAGCATTTACCAGAAAAGCAATGATATAGGCAAATATAAACGCTCAATGCGTAATAAATGAATGAAAGAAATATCATGCAAACAGTCCACTATAATACTAGTATAATGAAAACCCAGATATATAAAAAAATGCAAAAGATGCTCCCTTGACAAAGGCTTTTCAGCCGAAACGTTGGTTTTTTTTTGATTGACTCTGTCTCTACTTCTCAGTGAATTTGGTATGGTTTGCTGCATTTTTTTATATATCTGGGTTTTCATTATACTAGTATTATAGTGGACTGTTTGCATGATATTTCTTTCATTCATTTATTACGCATTGAGCGTTTATATTTGCCTTTATCATTGCTTTTCTGGTAAATGCTTTTGAATAGCATGACTTTGTACCTCTGTGGATAATATTTAAAGAGACAGTCCTATAGTATATACCCATTTAATAAAGATTTTTTCATATATATAAAGATTTATGGTTGTGCTCCTTACTCTATTCACACTGTTATGTATTTTGGGTTCTTTAGGGGATAGAGCCTTATGTGGGTGAGCACCCAGTATTCATTATATTAGCCTTTTCCTGGGGCTATTTTGTTGTTTAGTCGAGTGTGCCCGCCTTGTTTCATTTGCATTATCTTAACTTTATAGATGCAGTTGCTCCCTTACACAATCACAATTTGCATAATTTTGCCTGGGACAACCCCCATTCCAAGAAATGTATTTAGAAAGGGTTTTGCAAGGAAGGAAATTAAGGTTTTTCTTGTTTTCACGTATCCGAAATGAAATTTTGTTTAACTGCTGCAAACTACTTGTACTTTCCATCCTTTGCAATATTCAGCAAGGTATTGTGATGTATTGATAGGCCAACTTTGGAGTGTGCAAACCATAGTGAGACTGTGGGGATAAGTTGATTTTGCTGCCAGAACATCCTATTGTTAGCTACAGGGCAATAATAAGCCTCACCGGAACAATGTTATAAATAAACATACAATGATCAGAAAATAACCTTAATCGCTAATCTTGTTTTAAGTTGTTCTCCAAACATGAATGATTCACCTATTTTACCGTAGTTCATGATTATCTATCTCAATTCTAATGGTCAGGGCTGTAGTCATCAGAATCACTACAGCATAATGTAGTTGTTCTGGTGTCTGCAACCAGGGATGTTTTAGCCGCGAGGCAAACAAGACATTTGCCTTGGGCGGCATTTTCCAGGGGGCGGCAAAAAAAGCCTTGCGGCTAACTGACAAGGCAGGCTGCTGGGCGGGCGGCTGGCCGGCGAGGAAGCACTTTCCCCTGAGCTCTCTGCTCAGCTCCCTCGCGCGCCGCCCCAAGAATGCCTAGGGCAGCACAAAACCAGGACACACCACTGTCTGCAGCATGTCTCTTCAGGCTGAGCAGAGAAAATAAAGTGTTTGCCTTGGTGCCTATTAACAACTCTAGGTGCAGTCACTCAGATGTCCGCTAGAGGAGCTTCCTATTTTAGTTCTGCACAGTGTACAGCACGTACATTCAGTGTCTCCACACTCTGCACGGAGACGGTGAGCGCTCCCCATAGATTTAATGCATCTCTATGAGGAGATTCTGCTTGGCGCCATGTGGCGCTTTGTCCTGCATGCGCAGTAGCTTCCCAATGCTTATAGGAAAGCATTGGATGGGCTGAAATTGTCAAGATTGATGATCTCAGCCATGGAGGCGGGCTTAGCCTTGTCGATCGGAGAAAAGGTAATTGAAATATCTTTTTACTCAATTCTGAAGGAGGCCAGGGATCTAAACAGGTACTCCACCACTATAGCGTTCCTTAATCGAAGGGGCTAATGGAGCTGAAGCTCCAGGCTCATTGGTAATAAACACCTATGTTTACTACTCTGCGCATAATCTCTGCTAATGTTGTGCAGAAGGAGGTCAGTAAGGGAACACAGAGGAATACAGGGGAACAAACGTTGAGTGTACTGGCTGGCTATAAAATAGTTAATGTAAAGCTTGCTGCTTCTGTCTAACAGTTTGGCATGACTCGCTCTCCCTTCAAGTTTGTGGTACCAACATCAGCCCATCCTTGCAAGCACGCTGTCTTGGCGTCATACTTGACTCTGGTCTCACCTTTGAGCCTCACATCCAGCATGTTGCCAAATCCTGTAGATTCCATCTTAAAAACATAGCCCGCATCCGCCCCTTTCTTGCACCAGATACTACCAAGGAGCTTGTCCATGCTCTAATAATTGCACGCATGGATTATTGTAACCCTCTCCTGCTTGGTCTTCCCAAAAGCCGTACTGCACCCCTACAGTCTGTAATGAATGCTGCTGCTAGACTGATTTTCATCTCTAGTCGGTTCTCTCACACCTCACCCCTCTGCCAGTCCTTACATTGGCTTCCTGTGTGCTATTGGAGTCAATTCAAGGCACTAACTCACACCTATAAAGCACTGAACAACTCTAGCCCCTCTTATATCTCCTCACTGATCCACAGGTATGTCCCTTCTCGGTCTCTCCGCTCTGCCCGTGACCACCTCCTGTCCGCTTGCAGGACTTCTCGCGGGCAGCTCCCTTCCTATGGAATAGCCTGCCTACCGCCATCCGACTCTCCCCTAGTCTTGCATCTTTTAAGAAGTGCCTTAAAACCCATCTCTTTAGGAAAGCTTATGGCCTCCAAGACTAACCCCTACCTCACATACCCGTCTCTTGCCCTCTCCTAAAGAGCAGCCCACCTTATTTGATTGCACATTCCTGTCCTAATGTGTTTTACACCCCACCTCCTATAGAATGTAAGCTCGATTGAGCAGGGTCCTCTTCAACCTATTGTTCCTGTAAGTTTATTTGTAATTGTCCTATTTATAGTTAAATCCCCTTTCATAATATTGTAAAGTGCTACGGAATCTGTTGGCGCTATATAAATGGTAATAATGGTAATGGTAATGGTAATGACCCTTTCTGCTACATTTACTAAATCCACCTTTATATCCGTAGCAGGCTGCATAACAGGAGCTTCTGCCTGCTAGTAAAAAGGGAAGCAGAGGAATGGACAAGTGAGTGCTAAGGAGAGAGTTTTCAGAGTTTGTGATTGGTGAGAGGGAAGAGATGAGAGCTGCAAGATAGATAGACTTGAGTAAGAGATGAAAGCAGAGATACGTGCATAGTGTGTGCATTCTTATAAATAAAATGTATTCGGGAATCACCTCTACAAGAAGGAAGACACTTGAGGCATGACTGCTTTAGTCTACATAAGATTCTGAAACTAATCATACTAATCAGCACCAGGCCTAATAAGATCTTACTCCAGTCCTGCTTAGAGATGTGAAGGCCTGGAAAAAAACCTGGAAAAATTCTGAAAAAAATTTTTTCCCACGTTTTTTCCTGAAGGCTTTTTTTGGTTTTTTTCCGAAAAATTGGAAAATTTAAAAAATATATGAAAATTGTGGAATATTTTATTTTAACATGATGAATAAAATATTTTAAGACAGGGTGTTCAAATATTTTCCAAATCATTTAAAAAAAAAAAAAAAAATGTATGATATCAGATTATTCTAATTTCTGTGCACTGAGTGAGGACAAGCAAGTCCTATGTAACAAACTGAACCCTCCAATACAAGAACAGTATGCATGTCTTCCTTTAGGAGGTGCTGTGCTGCTATTGTAACAAGAAAAAGGTTTCAGTTTTACCAGTAATCTGGTTCTTCCCCCAGTGACCCCCACACACATAGATTAGTCTATTCTTGCAAAGTAGTCATTTGTTCTTGTTTTTATTTCCTACTCCCTTCAGAAAAATGGTGAGACCAACATCTAGCATATGGAGGCATTTTCACATTACAAGTTCTTCTGAAAAGAAAAATGTGATTTGCAAATATTGTCAGATGAAATATGCATTTCCAAATGCTACCAGGATGACAAAACACATTCTTGTATGTAACAAGTGTACTGTAGATATTACAAAATCCTTCATGGATCGAAGTGAAGAGGACAACAATGATGACAATGCACACAGTTTTTCTCCACGTTCTCGTTCAAGAAGTCCTCTTTCTACTCCATCTATCACGTCAGCAGCATCTTCAAGTAAACAGAAGACAGCTGCATCCAAAAATTATTCACTAACTTCATTTATAGACAAGATGACACCTGAAGATCAGGAAAAAATTGATCAAGCTCTTGCAAGAGCAATATATTCTTCTGGAACGCCGTTTTCAATAACTGAAAATACATACTGGCAGGAAGCTTTGAAATTATTAAGACCATCATACCAATTGCCCAGCAGACATTCTTTGAGCAAGCCTCTTTTGGAGTCAGAATAAGAACGTGTAATGGAATTGGTGCAAGGAAAAATTAATAAAGCCCTGTGTCTTGCACTACTTACAGATAGTGATGTCCCGAACGGTTCGCCGCGGACTCATCATTGAGTAAACTTTGACCCTGTACCTCACAGTCAGCAGACACATTCCAGCCAATCAGCAGCAGACTCTCCCTCCCAGACCCTTCCACCTCCTGGACAGCATCCATTTTACATTCATTGTGAAGCTGCATTCTTAGTGAGCTGTCCAGGAGGTGGGAGGGCCTGGGAGGGAGGGTCTGCTGCTGATTGGCTGGAATGTGTCTGCTGACTGTGAGGTACAGGGTCAAAGTTTACTCAATGATGAGTCCGTGGCGAACCGTTCGGGACATCACTACTTATAGATGGATGGACAAATGTGAGAGAAGAAGGAATTATAAAGTTTGTTATAACAACAACACCTCAGCCAGTTTTTTACAAAAGCATTGAAACAGGAGAGAACAGACCTACTGCAGAGTATATCAGCTGTAAAATCTGTGATGTCCTACAGAAAATTGGGAGTGGTAAAGTCTTTGCTTTGCTTACTGACAATGCCAGCAACATGAAAGCAGCATGGGAAATCCTAATGGAGAAGTATCCACATATTACTGCAATAGGATGTGCAGCCAGGGCCGCCATCAGGGCATGACAACCGTAACGGTTGTCATGGGCCCGGCGGTCCTGGGGGGCCCGGACTGCTCAGGTCGTCCGGGCCCCACATTCAGTGGGTACATACCGGGTCGCAGGGGATCCAGCGACCCGGTATGTACCCACAGGGCCAGCCTCTTCTCCTGGGGGGCCCAGGAGGCGGCCACGTCAGGGCCCCCCCAAGGCTGGCCCTGCTGACACCCGGCGGGCGCGCGAGGGAGCACTCTCTGTGTGCTTCCTCTTCAGCTCCCTCGCGCACCGTACTGATGCCGGAGCCGGAAGATGACGTCATCTTCCGGCTCCGGCATCAGTACGCGGCGCGCGAGGGAGCTTAAGAGGAAGCACACAGAGAGTGCTCCCTCGCGCGCCGGCCTGCCCGCCCGCCGCCAGTGTCAGGGGGGATAGGAGGAATGAAATTCGAGGGAGTGGGGGTGAGGAATGAAATGAGGAAGAAGAAGGAATGAAATGGGAGGGGGGAAGAAGAAGGAAATGAAATGGGAGGGGGGGAAGAAGAAGGAATGAAATGGGAGGGGGGAAGAGAAGGAATGAAATGGAGGGGGGAAGGAGAAGGAATGAAATGGGAGGGGGAAGGAGAAGGAATGAAATGGAGGGAAGGAGAGAAGGAATGAAATGGGAGGGGGCTAGAGAAGGAATGAAATGGGAGGGGGGGAAGGAGAAGGAAACAAAACGTGGGGAGGGGGGGAAGGAAGGAAATGAAATGGGAGGGGGGGGGGAAGAGTAGCTGAATGAAAGGAGTGGGGGAAGGAGAAGGAAATGAAATGGGAAGGCCGGTTGAAAGTCGGTAAAGTGAAGTCGAAATGGGGCTGAAATGAAATGGGGAAGGGAATGAAATGGGGAAGGAGAAGGAAATGAAATGGGAGGGGGAAGAAATGAAATGGGAAGGAGAAGGAATGAAATGGGATGGGAGGAGAAGGAAATGGGAAATGGGAGGAGAAGGAAATGAAATGAGGGGGGAGAAGGAATGAAATGAGGGGAGAGAAGGAACATGAGGGGGAGGAGAAGGAACGAAATGGAAGGAAACGAATTGGGGAAGGAGGAAGGAACGAATGGGGGAAGGAAATGAAATGGGAGGGGTGGGAGATGAAATGAAATGGGGAGGAATGGGAAATGGGGGAAAAGAAATGAAAATGTAGAGGGGGGAAGGAAATGAAATGGGAGGGGAAGGGGAAGGGAAATGAAAATGGGAGGGGGGAAGGGAGAAGGAATGAAATGGGAGGGGGGAAGGGGAAGGAATGAAATGGGAGGGGGGAAGGAATGAAATTTGAGGAGAGGGGGAGGAAGGAATGAAATGGGGGGGGAAGAAATGAAATTTGAGGGAGGGGGGAGAGGAATGAAATTTGAGGGGGGAGAGGAATGGAATTTGAGGGAGGGAGGGGGGAGAGGAAGGAAATTTGAGGCAGGGAGAGAGGAAGGAAATTTGAGGGAGGGAGAGAGGAAGGAAATTTGAGGGACGGGGGGAGAGAAAGGAAATTTGAGAGACGGGGAGAGGAAGGAAATGAGAGGGAGGAGGAGAAGAAGGAAATTGGAGGGGGGAAGAAGGAAATTGGAGAGGGGGGGAGAAGAAGGAAATTGGAGGGAGAGGGGGGAGAAGGAAATTGACAGGGGGAGGGGGAGAGATTGACATCCATCACACACAATGCACCCCTTGCACACAGAAAAACACACAATGCATTACACACAGATACACGTACACAAGCAATGCATCCCTTACACACAGCAACACACAATGCACCCCTTACACACACTCAATGCATCCCTTACAGACGCACACACTGCATCCCATATATACACAAACTCATCTTGCAGCCCTTACACACATCACACATCAGGACATCCCCCACACACACACACACTCCACTCCCTGTGAACAAACTCATTGGTGGAACATGAAGGTGGACCCTGGGACCCAGACATTGAGCTGTGTAAAGGGCCCTCAAAAAAATGGAGCTGCTTCCCGTTCTCCCAGAACAGTGATTTTTGTGACCAGTTACAAACCGCCTCCAGAGAGCCTGTTGTACACCAGACCAGTGGAGCCAGACGGCAGCTAGAGCCCATCTTCATCATCCTCATCTGGTTGTAAGTAGGCAATCTAGTATATTATTCGTGGCACTAATCTCTAATTTACCTCACATTAAAGGGACACTATAGTCCCCAGAACCACTGCAGCTTAATGTAGTGGTTCTGGTGTCTAGCCTGTCCCTGCAGGCCTTTTAATGTAAACACGGCGGCACTGCAGCACTGCTGTTAGTTAACATGGCAGATCACATGGGTGGGGCATTGTGATGTCACATGGGGGGCGGCAAACTTTACTTTTGCCTAGGGCGGCAAAAATCCTTGCACCGGCCCTGTAGACACTGCATCCCTGTGGGCGGATTCGGGGGGGGCAGCACTTTGGGCGGACTCGGGTGGAGGCACCGGGGGGCCCAGACCTGAGCTGTGTCAGGGGCCCCAACATTTCTGATGGCAGCTGTGCGCCCATGCATTAAACTTGCTTTTTAATGAAATTATGAAGTTGGACACCCTTCAAATGGTCTATAGACGACCAAAAGAAGTTATTAAACATGTAAAAGGTACTCATATTGTAGCTGCAGTTTTCAAGAAGAAGCAAGTTGAAAAAAATGCAAAGAATAGCATAGTTATGCTGAAGCTCTGTAGTAAAACTTGGTGGGCTGGAGTGGTGATCTCCTTTGAATGTTTACTAAAAAACAAAGAAGCTCTTCAAGAAACAGTAATAGTTGAAGATCTTAAAGTACCCAGGAGTGTAAGAAACACTGTTCGTGATCAGGATGTCTTCTGGGTTCAGCTGCAAAATTCCCTGAAGATTCTAAAGCCAATTGCTGCAGCAATCACTGCATCTGAATCAGATAGTGCACTTTTGTCAGAAATTCCTTATCTAATGACCAAGATAAAAACAACTGTTTTTGAAAATCTCAGTATATCTCCACTTACAACTATAGAAGAAAGTAAAGTGAAAGATTATATTAAAAAGAGGGAAGAATTTTGTTTTCATCCAATTCATGCTGCTGCAAATCTGTTGGATCCAAGATTCAAAGGTACAAACATAAGTGTTGATGACACTGCTACTGCATTTGACTGGATCACAAAACAAGCATCACATTTAGGACTTGATGTTGGGAAGGTACTTTCAAATGTTGCAGAATATAGAACATCTTCAGGGATTTGGTCCAGGAATGCAATCTGGGATTCTGCCAAACATATTCCTCCTGCAACATGGTGGCAAGGTCTTTGCACAACACAGCCTCTGACTCCTATTGCTTCTCGCCTTCTCCACATACCTCCATCTTCTGCAGCATGTGAAAGAAACTAATCTATGTTTGGAAAAACTCACACTAAGTCAAGAAATAAACTGACATGTGAAAGGGTAGATAAGCTTGTTTCGATCCGGGCAAAAGTTTTTAAAGTTCCTAATTGTGATGACGGACAAAAAAGAGTACCTGCAGAAGCAGAGACGGATACTGACAATTTCAGCTCAGAAAATGATTCTGATTAAATGTCCATTGAAACTTAGTCCCACTCTCTTCTTAACACTTCCCCCATCTTCAATTCTTTTTATGAGAATGGGGTTTTTATTTTTATTTAATACTGTGAAAAATTGTTACTTTTGGTTTTGAAAATTGGTTTGTGGAGGCTTTTTGGCTGTTCCACATAAACTGGTTAGCAGTTCAGGAGATTGTTGCTCCCTTTGTTACAAATAAATATTCTAAAAAAGTTAATTCTGTTTGTGATTGTTTTGCTACACTATATTTTTAATATGCTAGTTGTGATAATTTTATGCCAAGTCAAATTGTCCATAGTCATATTTTATGTTCCTAAAGTAACATAATGACTTTCAATCTTAAAAAGACAAAAAAGTGCTAATGTAGCATTTTTTTCAATTTTTCAGAAAATTTCAGTTTTTCCCCCAAAAAACTGAAAAAAAAAGTTGTTTTTTTTTCCGAGCTTCATAATTTCCAGAAATTTTACATCTCTAGTCCTGCTAATTGTGTATAACAAAATCAGTGCTGATGTAGCTGGTAGACCTATCTGAAAAGATATTATTCTAGATATGAAATATTAATATAGTTGCAAATATAAAAGATTAGAACAATCAGAAAGAATGAGCCTTTACATTTAAAAATCACGATTTAAATCAAATCTACCCTGGGTAACACTAACCAAAGTGATTTTCTTTAATATTTATTACATTTGTTGGCAATATCAAAAAGCAAAATCTATCAAATGTTACATTTCTACAAATCCCAGCCTTTGCTGCAATGTATTATTTGGCTCTTGTCCACAAGCTGCTGAGGCTGCGAGCTGTGCATGCTTTATAAATGTAAAATTTCTGAAATCGAGGTTTATTTTATTTTACCAACCAAACTCACGTCTGAATTTTACATGGCATTTGTATTTACAATTTATAAACAGATCTAAAGAATACCAGGATGTCCGCTTGGGCTGCCTACATTTAATATTCTTCACAATAAAGAATTGGGTAGATTTATCAGTTTCCTAAAACCAAGTATTCCACCGTTTAGTATTCATAGTAAACTCATGTAATAATGTCTACCAGACACAACTTAGGTACAATTGTTCCTGAACATTTATATCAAATATTTTATCAAAACAATGCAGTTCACCCACTACAAACCAAACGGTAGTGAATTTATAACTGAATAGCAAAACGGTGACTATGGAGAGAATGTAAATTTAATCCTACCTGTAGTCTGGTAAGCCCTGATTCTCTTCTCTTCCGTTGGTGGTGTTTTTCCTGCAGGGCTCTGACTGACCCTTACTAGTGACTGAGACATCCTGCAGAAGGTCATTGTCCTAAAATACCTCCAGCCAAGTCCTCCACCTTTTATGGAACAGTGCAATCCTCTCCTAATGAAGGAAGAAGCCATTCTGCTGCTGGATCCAGAGATCACATTAAGCACAGTAAGCTCCACCGCATAAACCACACAATCTTACTCTCTTACAGAGATCTGCAGGAAAAAAAACAAACAAAAATGAAAAGCTTCTTCTTTCAATATTTGTTGAACACTCCAAGCTTTGGCTAAAGATAATATTCAAACATTAACAAAAATAATAATAATAATAGTAATTTTGAGAAAATCCCAAAAAGAAAGTACAGAGTTGATTTAAAAATTGCAGATACTATTTTATGATTATAATGTTTAATTAGCCACTTCCCTCCGCCCTTTACACCTCTCTTTTTTATTTCCTTTCTTTCTATCTTCCTCTTACTTTTGACCTAGTTTTGTATTGAAAGGGTTTGGATATTGGCGTTATTCACTAGATATCACTAGATGTGATTTTCTTGCTTCAAATGCTCCTATCATTTATACATTCCTTTTCTAAATAAAGAATTGTAAAATGTAGCTATTTCAATGTTTCAACAGACAATTACTTGGTAGGAAGAGGATTTTGTTTTACATTTTTTTATTTCGTTCTGTGGAATATCACTGAAAATTATTTTTCTGTATGCAAATGTGTGTAAGAGCCTATAACCTAACTATATAATAATAATAATAATAATAATATTACCTCATTTTAATGAGACTGGTTAAAGCAATGATGCCCTATAAACAATATATATGATGGATATCCAGATTTATGTCCTTTTCCTTTTTGAATCTTTGAAGCCGAATGTTACTGTATCCTCTGCTTGAATGGAACATAGAACATCTTTCTATCCATCTATCCTTCACTGAGCTTCGTTTCACAGAGAGTGCACATCTCTCATCATATACACTCCTATCCCCCATGGACTTCATTCTCGCTCCTAATATTAACAGGGGACAATTTGTAAACTGCATCTGAACTTCTTTAAAAAATCTTTTACATGGGGGGGCGGAGCCTGGACTGCAAGCACGCAAGACGTGCATCACACAAGCTCCTGCTGTTAATGCCGAATACCCGGTGATATCCTGGGTTGACAACTTGGTGACCTCTACTCAAGGGGATTCCCAAGCTGGGGGCACCTAACCCTACAGGTGGATACCTTAATCAACACCCTAAGGCGACAGGAACCGCAACGGCAGGTTGAGGCCTACTGGACTCAGACCGAGGGAGAGACGGCCGCTCTCCTTCCGCTGAATAAAGTTAAGCACGACTCCACACCCCCCCCTCTGGACCGGCGGGGGATATCCCGGTCCCACCCGGAGAGCAGTTAGCTGCAGCAACGTTACCCCTGCAGCAGACCACACAGACATCCATATTCCCACAATGGCGGACGCAGCCCGCACGACAACACGTGGCACAGCTGCAACAGAGGGGACACTCAGCGACGCCTATACCTACACATCGAAGCGGCTGGATCAAATCTTCCAGGCCTTTTGGCTTAGGGTACAAGCCCGTCTGCAAGCCACTGCTCACAGCTCAGTGCCGCCGAAGGGAAACCGGAGAATGAAGCACTCCAGCATGGTAAAGCCTCCTCAGGGCACCACATATAAAACAACGCTCTCGAGACCTCACTACCACTCGCCCAGGCGGAGAGCCACACGAGGCAAGTCCTCCAAGCATCGTCCACGCGGGCGGAGAACCGCACACCGGCTGAGACAAATCCTCACTACCCCCGCCACCCCTGAGATGGGGAAAAACTTGGTCCCTCGACGAATCCAAGTCTGTGGTTCACAGATGCCGGCGATCCTGCAATCCTGGGGGCGAGGAGACAACGCGCCTCACAGTGCCACCAACTCCAGCGATCCAGCTACCCTACCACCTGACGGAATCGGCTAAGCTAGCTTATGGGACTGACACCGGGCTGGACTTTCTCCTTAACGACCTGAGACGCTATTTTTGTCTTTACATGCCAAGCACAAAATCTTGTGTATTATGTTTTTCTTTTTTTAATTAGCTTATCATTTCTGCTATCTCTCCTCAAGCTGTCTAATGACACTGCAGCGCGGCGTACTACTAATAATGCACTCAGGGGTGCACTAACTCGATAGCATGTTTACTTACAGTTACACTTGTATATCTTAACATGTCTAGCTGGAAGTCTTGGCTCCCAACAATTAACAAGCATAACAAATATGATATACTGTACTAGGCCCTCCTTGCATTACTCTCGTAGTTAGACATGACGGTATAGCTTGAGGCCATCTTGTTTCTATAACATCATAAAATGGTAGTCATATTTAGTAGATAGGGGTGTCTACGAGTATCCATGCATACGAGTAAATGTTGTGACCCCCTCGTGCAGGTCATGATTAAACATTGTGTTATGCTTCTACAAAAGCCTTTCCCCCCTCTAATCCCATCACTAATATGCAAGCTTGCATACGTAGACTAACTACACTATCTAAGTCATACTCAAGTATTTCTAGCCTGTTTTCTCTCATAAATATAAAAAATGTGCTGTATTACTCTGCTATGACAATGTTTGCTATTGAAATGCCTGTACTAGCTTTCATGGCGCTACAGGCCTGTTATGTTTTCTTATGCACAAGAAAAATAAAGAAATAATAAAAAAATAAAAAAATCTTTTACATAACAGCTTGTAGCGGAGAGGTAGTATAATCCACAGTGTCTCCGCTGGTAGACAGGAACTGCATATAATAATCCAGGTATAACAAGTACAGCATACAATAATCCCGGAAGCGTTAAATAAATCCTTCCTTCCCAAGATCTAGACAACACATAGGCTGGGAGTCAACTGAGTTTTTAATCACAAGTCACAGTATTTATGTGGCTCCCCATGCAAGGGGTTTCCCTACTGACTTTACAGGGGTTGTACAGTAGGGGACTACATGGGGGATTTAACAACCAAGACATTTCTCCCACAATTCACTGCTGCACGAGAGGGATACTCCCACTAAAATATCCAGTTAAGTGGATTATCCCTCCGTGCAGCAGAACTGGCTTTTTACATAAAAATATATAACTTTAACATTTTTCATGCTAATATACCGAATGACCGTTCGGCAGATAGCTAGGGTCTGAGCGCACACTTTGTGAAAGTCCCGAATGGCCTGGAAGTCCACAGTATTCGTGCGTCGAGTAGCCGATTTTAGTTCCAGGCGGCAAATTACCGCTGGGCTAACAAAGGATCCAAGATGGCCGACCGCCGCGTGGTCGGTAGCCGAACGGCGGCCATCTTGAACATCTATTAACTACCGAAAGATAAAATGTTGCAATACTTAATGGGAGCCACACGACCTCCTGTGTCTCCCATTCGGTATTACATATAAACACAATACTCTTAATCAGAAAAAAATCTAGCAAAAAGTACAGAGAGGGTTACAGGGGTACTAAAAGGGCTTAACCCTAAAGCATACAAGAAATAACGAAAATAAGGAAATGAGGGAGAAGCATTCCTCTTAAAAAAAGAAAGCCAATCCCATCAAAACCAGTACCCCCTACAGAGCACTATATGAAAACTTACAAAGAAAACTGTATCTCAGACATGGCTCAAAAAAATAATAAAGTTTTATTAATAGTAAATAAACGTTAAAATATATACACCAAGTGTCTATAAATACACCAGACTAATGGATAAATAAATACTCAGGGATACAAAACAGCTATGCTCAAAAAAGCTCGCAACAAAGTAAACTTGATACCTCGTAAGTAGCTCACTCTAATAACACAGTAACTGATCGAAAATGTTGCAACATAGACAGCAAAAACAGCAGTGGATCTCCAATACTCATAGTATAATGGGAAATAGCTGTTGTAAACCCAAATTAATCCAAATATTTTACACGTAAAGCCACAGCATCACATTAATGAACATAGAGTCTTAAGTGGCTAGTTGTGCCACACAGCTTTTCATCTGATTTTATATATCACAAAATATCAATTAGAGCATAACAGTGGGCTACATTGTATTAGTAATTCACCTTGCTGTTTTCACCTAAAAAGGTAAATAATTTTATATGAGAGAGAGGGGTATGTTTCTAAGCCCCTACATACTTATTAACCTTTAACAGGGAACACATAGGGTGGGAGGCAGCACTGTAACATAGCAGTGTGATACAAAAGTTAATACAAACATAAAATTAAGCCCTGCGCTCAAATTCCCACCAGTCCTGGGAAGCAACAATGACTATAGTACACATCAGCCCCAATACATATAATAAAAAACAAAGAAAAAAAAAGGTTACTTGCGCACGATCCCAAATGCCTGTGTACATTTAAAGAACTGGAGGTTTTTTAGTATTACTCCAATGGCCATTCAAGTTCAAGCTCACCTACCACATCAAGGTTAAACTCTTGAGAACTCAAAGTAAATTTCAAATTTAACGTCAAAATAGCTAGCCTAGAAAAGTTCTCTAACTCAGCAATGGTGCAATTACTTGGAAAACGCGCTTAGCCAACTTGGAGAATTATTTTCAGTTCAGCTGTTGTGGTGTAAAATTTGGAGTTTAGTAAATAAATCATGTTACTCACACTGGATCAGTGACTCTCAGCTTCCACATGGGAGCTACAAAGTGTAACTTTGAATGAATGTGGCCACAAGTGAGTACCACTTTAACAGTCACTTAAATGAGTTACAAGTAAGTGTCAATCTAAATCAATCACCGAAGGCAGTAATAAGTGAGTGGCACTCTCTATCAGTCAGTCAGTGTCAACAGTAACATGTGAGTGTCACTCTGTATCAGTCAGTGTCAACAGTAACATGTGAGTGGCCCTCTGTATCAGTCGGTGTCAACGGTAACATGTGAGTTGCACTCTGTATCAGTCAGTGTCAACAGTAACACAGCAATAACATGTGAGTGGCACTCTGTATCAGTCACTGACAGCAATAAAGTGTGTATCAGTCACTGGCAGTAGTAATATGTGAGTGACACTCAGTATCAGTGACAGCAGTAACATGTGAGTGGCACTCTTTATCAGTCACTGAGAGCAGTATTCTGTGAGTGGCACTCTGTATTAGTCACTGAGAGCAGTATTATGT